TACCCAGAGCATGTGCTGTGCTTGTATCCATGCCCACGTTCTCTTAAGTCCCCACTCATTAATCACTTTGTCCCTGATAGTCCTCATTGCAGAACCTAGGTATCTTTAAAACATCTAGATTACATACATAAAGGATTGGCCCTGGCTTAGTTCACTTAACATGATGATCTTCGTGTCTTTTCTTTTTTCTGCAAATCAAAAAGTTTTGTTCTTTGTGGCCGAAGAAAAACTCCATAGTGTATATATACATATTGTCTTCATTCATTTATCTGCTTCTGATGCCTCTTAAATGTTTTTATTTGATTGCCATCTTCACAGTCACACACAACACACACACACACACATACACACACACACACACACACACACACACACACACACACAACTATTGGGTATAGTTTTTTTCTACATTCTCAACTCCTGTCAAAAATCACCTTTTTTGTCACCTAGTATATATTGTCAGAAATATGACTATGGCTATATCTTTGGGCTTCCATTGGACTTTGTTGATGTATACCTATAGTCCCAGTACTTGAGAGATGGAAACATGAGGATAAGAAGTCCAAGGTCATCTTTGGTGACACAGTGAGATCAAGACCCCTTTTAAAACTCTCCCCATGAGCAACAAAACAGATTTTTTTTCATTTTGTTTGTGAAAAACTTTATATCTCATGAAAAATTCAGTGTTTCTTTGAGAAATCATGGCAGACTCATTGCCTCTGAACATTTTCACTTAAAATCCATCCAGTTTCTTCTCACTGAGTTCCTTACCCTGATCATTCAGTCACACTATCTCTTCTTTCTCAAGTGTGCTTGGACAGACACTTTGCCATGTGCCTTCTGAATCACATGGTGAAAACCAACCTGGTTTCTCCTCCATGTAAGAACCCAACTACCATTAACAACATATTCTATGGGAAGCTGAGTTATGAGTATCTGAGAATAAGAAATGAACATTAGATGCACTCATTTGTGCATCAGAACTAGTCTTTGGTAACAGGAGTAGATGACAGCTAAGTTAGAAAACACTTCTACAGATTGTTTACCTCAGAGTGCTGTTACTAGGTGGAAGAAATTGCTAATACTCAAGGCCTTTTCGTATATCATTGATTTCTACTGCCTTAATAAAAGAACCAATAAACACGCAGCAAGATTTCATAGTAATTTATTGTGATTGTCTTTGGCTTTGAAAACTAAGGCATTTATGTTACGACCAAAGAGAAATTACATAGCATTGGTATGATTAAAAAAGTTTGGCTGTTAGGGGTGATTTTTTAAAATGCTGTAGTTAAGCTTTAAAAGTATGGTTCATTGAAACTCATTCAAACCTCCTAAGACTGGCCTACAATAAAAAAAAAAAAAAGTAATCAAGGGCCATGTGCCAAAAGCAACTTAATTTAGGGGCTTCTTTAGAAAATCATAAAGTATTCAGTTCACTTGCTTTTTAAATGAAGAATAAGGAGCCCTGAACAAGTACTACCAATAAAAAAAAAAAAAAATCAGCCCTTTCATTTCATAATATGTGCATTTAAATAAGAGGGGTGTGGTAAAAAAGAACAATTGGCAGAGTGAAGGCAGGGTGGAAATCAGACAGAACGTATTTAAAGTGATTTATGTACATATGTATATGTACCTGGAATTGTGGAAGCAGGAGACTGAGTGGGGAAATGTGGGACAAATGACAATTGGAGATCCTAGCTGCTATTTGTTGATAAATACTTGAATTCAAAAGCCTGTCTACCTATTATTCTTCCTTTCTTTTTTCTTGGTGGTGGTGGTGGTGGGGATAATGACTGTTACTAAATTCCCTGATGGTTGTTTTGGGAGCATGTATCCAGTAATGAGTTCTTCATTCATATATGTGTGTGTGTGTGTGTGTGTGTGTGTGTGTGTGTATGCATGTACATATGTATGTATATACCCATCCATTTTGTGTATTAGGTTTTTTGCTTGCACATATGAATATGTGCTACGTGCATGCCTAGTACTGGCAGAGGTCAGAAGAGGGTGTCACATATCTTGGAACTGCAGTTACAGGCAATTGTGAGTCACCATGAGGGTGTTAGGAACTTCATCTTGGTCCTCTGCAAGAAGAGCAAGTGTTCTTAACCACTGAGCCATCTCTCCAGCTCCCAGTGATGATTCTCTGTGCAAAGTATGTATGAGAATCACATGAGACCCTAGTCGATGTTGGGTGTATCCATTGCTGTCTCACATTGACTTGTTACTTTTCCCAAATCAGCATTCGTCCCTGTGCTCAGCTCTCAAAGCCTAAAGGAGGTGTGGCTTTTTTTTTTCTTAAATAAATGGGAAATGTAGAGGACATCCAGATTTTAAAAAGAGGTCTGCAGAAAGAAAAAAGCGTTTCTCACTGAAGAAAGCGAAAATGTAAGCAGAACACCATTCAAACAATATACAAAACACCTTCAAGATATGGCATCTTGCTGATTAACGTACAATTAGTCAGTTTTTTTTCTATCTTTTCTTTTTGTTTTTGGTTTTTTATTTTTCCATCTCTGTGATATAGGGGATTGATCCCAGAGCCTTACACATGCTAGGTAAACACTACCGCTGAGCCACATCCTCCCTGGCAGATAATCCAAAAGCTGAGTAGCTCAAACAGTGCCTCACAAGGGGAAAGGATACAATAAGGTGCACATTGAGAACAACAAACTGGATACATTTTAATTGCAAGTGTTAGGCAGTGAGTTTTCACTGGTGCTCCTCAGAGAAAAACAGACTGCTACAGAGTTATGAAGAGAGTTCTTTACCAAGAAAATGAATATATCTATGTTGTTGCTATTTTAGGGGAGGGGAGTTGAAATGGTTCTCACAGCCCAAGCTGGCCTCTAACTCCCTATGCCACCAAGGGTGATGCTCTTCCAGAGGATCCAGAGTTCAATTCCTAACACTTGTATGGCAGCTCACAAACTCTGTAATTCCAGTTCCAGGGAATCTAGGCCTTTTTTTGTCCTCAGCGAGCACCTGGCACACACACATGGCACACAGGAATATATGCAGGAAAACCACTCATACACATTAAAAATGAATAAAAACAATACTCAATTTTATAAGACACATAAGGGTCTGAAAGATGAATCAACGAGTAAAGATGCCACCAAGCCTCTTCCCCCCCCCCCAACACGCACAACCCAAGACGCTAAATAAATAATGCTTAAAAAAAATCTTTTTGAAAGAGCCTTGTTGCTCTAGTGAATTCTCAGAGATTCCTACTGGAACACAGCTATAATTCAAATGCTCAACACACCATAGTCAAGTTCCCATGACTTTAGTAGACTCATTCCTGAGGTTTCATTTTGATATGAAGTTTCCCCATGTTGTACCCACCCTCTCTAGTAGCTGGGACAGTAGGTACACACTTCAGTACTTGGCCCAGATTCTGAGATCATGATTCTTTTCAGATTCTGCTTTGTCTTCCATACATGGACAGCAATAGCAGAGCATTGGAAGCAAATCTTGGTGAATGTGTATACAGTTTTATCAAATCTGTAAATATTAGAGTGACTCAAGTCATAGTACCTGATGTGGTTTATTTTTGAGCTTCACTTCACCTCTTTGGTCATTGTGAGAGATGAGATTTCTTCAAAGCAAAGTTTTCATTCTGAGACTGAGGAAGAACAAAGAGGAGGAACAACAAAGAATCATAGAAGGACTATCCAAACCCTTAGCTCTGAACTATGGACAGATTGTAGTTCTGAGTTACTTTTTGGCTGGGTTGTTGTGGAATGATACATCTGACACTTTCCTTTACTCTGGGCTATGTCACTACATAAAGAGCACATTTATTGGAAACCATTGGTCTGTGAGAATATATGGGGAATAAGTGACCACAATGCACACATTAGGTGGATGTAGTTTAAATACCTGCTTAGAAGGTGGAGATATAAAATCTTAACATAGAGGATTGCCTGTGATCACTTCTTCAAGATTTAGCATAGATTCAGATTATCCAGTATGAACTCCCATAGCTTTTTTCTCTGTGCTGACAACCCCTTGAATTTAAGCTACTTTCATTGCAAGTTTTAATTTTAAAACCCTCTTTGCTTTCCCTCCGTAGAACTAATGCTTATAAATTACGTTACTGTCTTGTACTACAACATGGACTTCAATATTTACTTCATTTTTGATTATCACATATTTTATAAATCCTTCTCTTTCTCTTGAAATATAAACTCTCAAATCCTTAAAACTCTCGTGTTTAGATGATTGACATACACAGTGCTATCACACAGAATCATGAGGAATTTATGAAAAGGGTTTGCGTTGCTACCAAAAGATGCTGTTCTTATTGCCCCACTCTGACTTTCCTGTAGTTAAGCCATCTTCCTGATTACAAAGCTCTTCTGTTTTTGTTTTATTTTACCCCCTCTGGGAGGTGGCTATATTTTATTTTAATGTGGTTGATAAGTGCACTAAATATATTTGATACTGAAAGTGAAAATTTTAGTATGATGCAGCACAGCTTCCATTTCTAATGCCAGCTCTAGCTGTATATAAGTTCATTAAGTTGTATAGAGGTTCAGTTTGGTTAATTTTGTGTGTGATTTATTTGCGAGCTTTAAAAAATTAAATTAATTTACTTACTTTACATCCAGATTGCAGCTTCTTCCCTCCTCTCCTCCTGGTCTCACCCTCCCACCCTCTTTCTTTTCACTCCCTCCCCTTCTCTCAGAAAAGAGGAGGCCACCTCCCCCGACCCCTGCCCCATACCAACTAACTCCAGCATACTAAGTCACATCAGGACTAACCGCATCCTCTTCCACTGAGCCCTGTAGCCCAGCTACAGGAAAGTGATCCGAAAAACCATGTGAATAAACATTTTCATGTACCATGAAACCTTTATGTGTGCACTGTTGGAGCTTCAACAAAGAGCCTCCCTGGCTTAAATGAAGTGGAATCTGAAGTGCATCTGAAATCAAGCCCTTTTCTCTTGGACCTGATGGATATTGGTGATATAGATTGTCTTTTTTACCCTCCAGGTGACCATTTGAAGATCTGTCCCCAAGGTTATACCTGCTGCTCTCAAGAGATGGAAGAGAAGTACAGCCTGCAAAGTAAAGATGATTTCAAGAACGTGGTCAGTGAACAGTGCCATCATTTGCAAGCCATCTTTGCATCTCGTTACAAGAAGTTTGATGGTATGCGATCTAAGTTGCATATAACAGTTGACAGCTCTTTTGTATGATCAATTCTCAGATGCCTCTCTGTTCCCTTGGAACTTCAATTTTCTCCAAACACGGGGTGGTGAAGTAGGCTTCTAGGGGCAAGTTAGCTAAGCAGTTGCACTGGCATCTGTGCAACTAGGCATTATGGGAATATTATGGTTAAAGGCACTTAAAAATAGATGGGGTTAATTTAAATGCTTTTCTTTATTTCTTTTTTTTTGGGGGGGGATGAATGCTGCATATGTTGTTGACGTAAGCCACTGGTAGGAAAAAAAAGAGACTTCCTAATAAAAAGCAGACATCTCAAAGCTGTCTACATCCCACTACCTAATAGAGAGATTCTACAGACGTTGGACTTCATATTAAATATCAAAATGGATTGTCAACTAGAATTCTAAGAATCCCCTTAACACAGAGACAGGATTGGTGTTTAGCTTTCGAGCATCTATGCAGTTAGTAACCAGGAAGTGGCTACTAGTCTGTGGTCTTCAGTAAGCTTGGCTCCTTCTCCAGGATCATTATTACCCGAGGTATGGTGTAGTCTTTCCATGGAACACCACAGAAGAACTTTAAACCCTCTCACATCTATACTTCATATAATAGAGAGGAAGTAGGCAAAAGGGAGGCACTTCAAGCCCCATAGAGTAAAGATGCAAAATTAGAATGAGGTCCTAAACACCCCAGGATTCCTTTCTGTGATGTTGCTCACTCATGATCGTTGTGAAGCAGACTTGATTTTAATCAGAACAATTTCCTTTGTGCCTGTTTAAAGGCAATTCTAATTACATAGTACCTTTGAAGCAGGCTTTTCTTGACATGCGTGGTAAGTAGTACAAGGCACATTTTCTAGATGTGAAATGTCTTTGAGTTTTCCTGCAAAGGGCTTGTTACCATGGTGAGAAGTTAGACTAAATTAGATTTGATATAGCAGATAAGACAGTCCCCAACTATAGAACAGGTTATATTTCAGGCATTTATTTTGAGAGTCATTATTTGAAACTTTTTGTAACCAGTTTAATAAGTATTAGTAAGCTGTCCAGGCTAGACTATGACACATTTAATTTGTAACATAGTTGAACTTAAATACTGTCTAGCTATTTTAGTGTATGCCATTGATCCTATTCATTGTTCCAAGAACGCTCTGTGCAATATGGATGTGGTCTTGATTTTGCTTGCTGAGGCTTGGGAAGGGACCCAGGACATCACATGTGCTACACGTGTACTCAATCACTGACCTATACCTCCAGTCTCTTTGTTCTTAACTCTATCTCCTTTCCCTGATGAGTGAGAATAAATATGTGTATTTTTATATCCTCTTGATTAACGTAACCCTGGTATATCTAGCTCCGTTTGTTAAAGAATACATGCTAACCCTTTGTGAAAATAGATATAATTGGCAAGTACAATACTAGACACTCCCTGTCTCTAGGTCACTGTTATTTTAGATAATGAAAGCAGTGAATCATTCATATTCTTAATACCTGTCCTTCTAAGTCTATCAGTTTTTTTTGTTTTTTTTGAGAGGGTGGCCTGTGATTCATGATCTTGGTTTAGCTACCCTTGTGCTAGGATTAGCACTAGGTCTGTTGCTCTTTTGGAAACCATTGGTCTATGGGAATATGAGAAATAGGTAGGTATGCACTATCATACCCAGGAACAGTGAAAGTCTCTTGACTCTGGAATATAAGAGAGGTGAATGCTTTAAAAATGACCACACGGGATTTCCGTACTACAATTAGAAAAGAAACTTAAATCTTGCTCCTGTTGACAGCATGGTGCAGTGGTGATAAACGTGTCTCCAAGTCCCAAGCCCATCCTCTCTAAGTCACCTCATTTTTTTTTCTCTTTTGGATGACGAACACCTGAGGGTTAATAGGAAGGCTTTCATACAGGCTTAAGCTTAAGGGTTAATAGAAAGAGAGAGGTGCTCAGCAAAAAGGAAGACACATCCAAGAGTATAGATGTGGGCTTCTCAAAGAGAAAGTTGTAGAACATAACACATACCCAATTGTGGATTCAGACTTTTCCAGAGAAAGTTGTCCTATTTCTGGTTATACACATCTTTCTCTGGAGTAGAGTCCGCAGTCATTGCCTGTGGTCTGCTGGTTTAGCTGTTCTCTCCCATCTCCTCCCCATGGTTTTATAGCAATGTAGTACATAGTATGATGGCAACGTGCAAAGCTTTTATTGAAAGAAAACTATATTTAGAGCTGTTATCCGTAAGTGTTAACATATGCTTAGTTGTTTTTTTTAATATAGAAACAATTGGTCTTGTTCTTCACATTCAATAAAGACATTAAAACTGTGTCTTTATTGGTTCCAAAACATACTCAAAAATAATTATAAAACTCCCTTGTATTTCTTCCGACTCTAATTTCAAACATGGCAAAGACAATAAAGGTAATGACGACCAATTAAAATTTGTTGTAAGCTGCTAAAATCTGTTTGGTCTGGACATCAGAACACAGCTGGAATACTTTGTACATTTTCTTTCAGTTCAATTTTCTGAAATAATTTTTC